TGTCTTTTTCATCCTAGCTGTTCATCTTCCTCATTGTATCATTCGTTATTTTTTGTTCTATTAAGTTTCATCAGTTCTGTGTTAAGATTAATTTCCGAGTATTTTTGTAGATTTAATCTACTGAGTAACTGTATGTCTAATCAGTTCTCGTCGGTTAATACAGTAAATTTACTAGTCACTTTTGTTAATTGTTCATAACAGTTATAGATCTATATTATTTCATCATGATCCTTGTTATGTATTTATTTTAAATTAAGAAAATTTTATTGTGAGATAACAATAAGTTTTTCAGTATAATACAGAGAAATAGTAGTGTACAAGTGTTAACGGTAAATGAACTAACTAACAATGTTATAGTTTCAAGTATGTGGGTAAAACCTGTTAACTAGAGACACTATCATTTGACTTCAGGTGTTGGTAAGGATGAATATTCACAGTGGTTGTCATATAGCTAGGCATGGAATGACTATTAATTGGAGTTTAGTAAGTGAATAAGAATTGTAGTCCTTCAAATGAATGAGTAAAGTGCTGATAGATAAACTTAACGCTATGATACGTTATGTCCAAGTGATAAATTTCGATAAGACTGAATAGTTGCTGTAGTCCCCAAATTGAAGGGATATTAGAAAAAAAGACAATTAAAAACACGATCTGAAGTTGTTTGGTGTATACATAAGCTATATGTTGTTCACTCTTCAATATCTTATTATCATGCTTAATTCTTGTCCTATCATAATAGCAATGAATAAAAATCACATCTTATGTGATACTCGTTTTTTTAATCGTTAAATCACATTCTAATTACTGTATGTGAATAGTTTCTCACTTTGTTGGTATTTTTCTTTATTATTGATTATCAACAAAGCAAATTGTCCATGGTGGCCTATTTGGAATACCTCTAGTACTGATAATAATGAAATAGACGAAATTTCAATTCAAGAGAACAATTCAATAAAACCACATGTTCAGTTTAGTCAAAATGCAAATAAATCAAAGAATTTAGTAAGTGGTTTCAATATGTAATTGATATGCTATGTGTTTATAGTTGCTCAATATTGAATTCAAATAAATTAAGTTTTTTTTCTAATATTGAAATCGTATACATTGTTCAATGTGCACATTCCAGAAGAAGAGGTTACACTTATTAGACTTTGATATTATAAAAAGAAATCTAATAAAATCTGCCTTTAACAATCAATTAATAACCATGATGATTTTTGTTTTAAATATTCAACTCGAAAATAAAACCCACTTGTTTAAATTACAAAACTTATCTGATCATTTATTGTCTTCTATGAGATGACTTTGGGAGGCTAATCATAGAAAAATTCAAATTGAAACTAACAAATTGTAATCATAGTTTAGAATAAAAGTTTGATGAAAGATAAGATTTATACAGTATCATTGATCATTGACTACTGAACTTGTTTGTTTACCCCTTCTGAACATAAATGACAAGGGTTAACTGTATTACTTAAAATGTTCTTTGTAAATCAAACTGAAAATATATTCTTTATTGATTATGTGGTGAGCATGTTTACATCATGCTATGTGATGAAGATTTAATCTTTTCTTTATTGGTTTGGTTTTCGTAAGGTTTAGATTATGTGGAATGTGTCTTAAAGTGTACTGTTAATATACAATCTGTATCTCCGGCATATTTGAAACTAATTACACTAAAGTTGAGTTATTAAACGTATTGATTGATTGCATTGTTTGAACTTTATCACAAAAGATTTTTGAGATTGGCTTAATAAAGTGTGATATCTACCAATTGAATAATGATGAGACACATTTCTGCATTGAATAAGTTTACCAAAACATTTATTATATAGTGTATAATGTTTCACTCACATACGTCCACTTTCTATCTTTAGTATGTGAATAGTAGATGGAAACGTGGTGACATTATGCCCTCCTATTCTTTGGAACTAAGTAAACCATACAATAAACCATCAGATATAATGAATAAATCACTTAAAATCTCAGTAAAACATGAATGTGATCAAGAATTAAAATATGAAACGATATATCCTAATGAAGTGGATCCCAATGATGATGTTTGGAATAATACTACTGTTAATAGTAGTCATAGACGTCGTCGACCTAACCAACCTAAAAAAACTCGTCCTTCTAAAAAACAATTCACTATACAACGACGTCAAGATTTAATTTCGATTGCTGGAACTGAATTATCTTCCATATATGAGAACAAATAATTACTTGTGATATAAAGCTTTTTTTTTCTTTTGTTATACGAGTTTTCATTCTTTGTACTTTAAAGGGAAGTTTTATTAAATAACCAATCGTTATACTTAATATTCCTTTCAATGAACTAAACAATCTCTTCCTGTTGTTTTATACAACAAATTGGTTTTACCTTCCAAATCAACGATAAACTTTATACCTGTGTGTGTATGTCTGATTATAGTTTTCACTCAAACATGTGTGGTGTTTCTCTTCTCATTTATTTTGATTATTTGTACATACTACTCTTAACTGATAAAAAAACGGTTGAAATGTGCAGTTACTTTGACTCGTTTGTGATTGATATCGATATTGTTATTTTTTATACATTTTGTTTATGTTTTTTCGATATTCACAGATATATATAAATAAATAAATAAATAAATATGCACCATTTTTCTGTCGTATTTGTGATTTTTATTGGAAATTAATTTTTGCTACTTCAGTGATCATTGTTTCTCATGTAGGGATTACAGTACGAAAATGACTTAAAATGTGGAAACATGTGTATGTGTGCAGGGTATCTACAAAATTTAGCTAGCCATAATTTATTAGTTGTATAAGGGTATTTATCCGTACTGTGAAGTGTAATTCTTTCTGGAAAGGAAATTAGATTAAAAGTGATCTTGTTGACTTAGTAAGAGTGAATCAGTGTCCAAGGAGAAAAACTGGTTATACATGGCCTTTTTATCATTAACTTAAATTATTGTTGATTCATCTAGTATGTTTTGAGTGTAAGTGACTGAAGTGGATAAAAAATTGTTGCATTACAATAGACGATTTATCCGTGGTAGTTTGGGAGAACTACAAGTTCGTTAGTTTGATGTTCATGAGTTAATTTTTGAAACCTTTGGTTGCTAAAGTCGATTCACGGATTTAATAAGATATTTTCCTGTGCTATAGAAATATTCTACTCGCTGTTTACGTGAAGATTTGAACGAAGCATCTTAGTAGGTCGCTTATGCGTGCCATTTATATACGAATTCTTCTACTTTTGCAAAACTGGATATGAACTTACATATTATATTTGTTAAGTTTCTGTGACACAAGATCTTTATGTGTGAATAATTATCTCAAGACAGTAAAATACCTGACGGAAAGGTACAAAGATGTAGCGTTAGTAATCTAGGAGAGGTTAATGCATTAGGACACTACATAAAAATATAAACTGAAGTATGATTAAATCAATCGACTCGAACTCATATAGGTAACGATTAAGCTTTCGTTATGTTGCTTCATTTACTAGTACGATTGTGATAATTTGAACTAATGAATCTGTGAACCAAGTTTTGTTTTTCCATCAAACAAACCAGCTTAGCCATCGTCCAAAAATGCTGTATTTTAAGAAATCTCGACTAGATCAGACAAAGGATCTTTGAAACAGTATTCTTTGATTCTTCGACCGCGTAATAAAGCTCAAATACGACCTAAAATTCCAGTATTACGCCTAGATTTTCATTAATGCAGTAACGTCAGATATGTTTGTCTTCTCATTTGTTAGGGTTAGTTACTAACTCAGTCCAGTGCTAACCTAGTTATCATTATTTGCATTACTATGTCATTCGTTGCAGTTTATATAACCCTTTAACAATTGTGAAGACAACTTCTAGTTCTATGAATATTAATTTATGAACTAATAGTAAATAAAATTGCAGATTCGAGCTGACAAACATCATTGAACCAGTTCATTACACCCATCACCATATCATCGACGGAGCAGATTGTTATTGATATTTTCCTCCAAATTTCACGCTTTATTGTTACCTCAAAATACTTACTTCGTATTGAACTGGTTAGTCGAGAATGTCTGTGAATAGTGTTTATCGCTTCAAAAGTTTCGGTCTACTGAATATGAGCACTCAAATTTTATTTCTTTATAGCTGCGAGTTCACACATCTTATGAAAAAACATTTGTATTGTGAGTTTCCCGTGAAATTCAATCAGTGAATAAATTTCACGAAACATAAAGCTGACAATTCAACCACCCATCCAGGCTTCCGCATATGTACTTTCTGGTTCAACTCTTTCATACTAGTTCACATTCTCCTAATATTAACTATACTCTCATGTGCCTTACAAGGTTGGGTAAGAAAAGATGACAACATAGTCGGTCAGCCCAGAACTTCGGCTTGCTTGTCTAAAACATCACAATAATGTCTCAGCATCTTTCATACGTGTCGACATTAACGATCAATATTAGGTGACCCGTAAACCATCACTATTCGTTTTTTTTCATTTCAAATTCACGACCGAAAACCCAGTCAAAAAGTAGAGATGTTTAGTCGTATGTACGTTCCTAAGCGTCCGAATCACTTACTAGAAGTGGAAGCAATTTAACAAACTAGAAAACAACTTCCTGCATTCGACTTTCTATTCGGTAATTGTCATAAAGTATATAAACCATTCGCACCACTTTTTACAATCCTCATCTCTATTGGATTACTTTATTTGATGTATGTGATTGGATATTTTGTCTCATACAATGTACAAGGCCGTTTCAGTTACAATCTACATTTCGTCCAAACTTGAGGATGTTACAGTGTTCATTAGTATGTATCAAGTAATCGGCGGATTAATCATGAGAAGAAACAACTAGGAAGGCACCAATAATTCAGACAACCCACTAAATGCTATGAGTTACGTAATTTACTTTCAATCTCGAAAGGTTTCAGATTGTTCCACATCTACGTATAAGCTACCCAGTTTACACCTGTTGACATTATTATCCTTCGTAATATCTGAATAAATTGATATAAGCAGCCAATTTTTTTACCCATACCATAGTTTATCAAAGTGGTACACACAAAAAATGGGTTGAATCAACTAATTGGTAGGTGGAATACTACGTTGAAAAAGAGGACTTTCATATCCGAAAAATTATATAACACTAATAATAATGAACATAGTACATAAAACTGAAGTAGTGATTATACAATAGGGAACCACAGATAAGTTGAATAAACCAACAAACTTTAAGGAAAAAACGGATCATTGTATATTTTCTTGTCAATGTCAAATCACAAGAACCAAATAATAAATAAGGAGACAATAATATTGAAAAAGAAATAAAACATAACTACGAAGGAAAATAATAATGTTACATATGACAGCATTACTACACAATTGAAGAGATATTGTAAATGAGAAAACGAATATTTGTTAAATTTACGGTATGAAAAGAAAATTAAAGTCGATTAATTTATTTAAGAGGCACTTCACAATAGTTCTGATAGTTTATATTATCACAAAACGATGTGAGTAAATTCACAACAAATAAACATGCAAAAAATTTCCAATAAAAAAAAGAGGGAATATATTTTCAAATTAAAACCACAGATTGTTTATCACATTGTATATATATATATATATGTATTGGAAAAACAATTGACTAAGAGATGGGATTCTTGATAAACCGAATTGATAAAAGCCATTACTTTGCTAATTTAACAAAACAAATGTACCAATTACGAACTTTGATTTGTAGAAAGATTGAGACCTAAGAAGAGAAACAAATGACAATTGAGAAACATGTACTAAATAATTTTTATATTAATTTACAAAATAGAGAGAATTTAACAGTCAAATGAATTATATATATATATATATATATATATATAACTTTGTCGTATTATATTTGATCGATAGTGCTCATGAAATGGATGGAAATAGATCATTCAGTGTTCTTTATTACATTATATTGTTTGATGCAACAAACACTGAAGAGATTCGGATAAATAACCCAAGTTTTTGTTTACCAAAAAATAACATTTTCAATATCCTATATCCGTTTATTGTCAAGAAGGACTAAGTGAAGAAGTTTATGTACCTTGAATGTTTACCCATAGTTTCCACAACAAATAAGATTGTTATCTAGGAGAGGATTGATGACTTAAAAATAAATATTTAAAACTCAATAAGATTAATATTGGAATCGAAGAGATGGCGTGAATCTCCGTTAAACCTGAAAGCAGAATTTATCTATAATTCTCCAATGGGATGCCAGTTATTTATCACTCGATTGTGACTGTTAAATTGATGTTGTGATCGGGCTTCTACATCGCGGTGATCCAACTGAACCATATAACCTGAAACAGTTGTTCCTTTAGATCCTACCGTGAAAATCACGTCGGTTGGAGAGGTGGCAAGACCAAAAGCAAAAAACTTGTGAACTGAGGGCGAAGTCATACTCATGGCTGTATTGGAGTGTGGTGGCAGTAAGATGCTCCCTCGAAGAAAACTTCACCTACAGCAATGCTACCTTCTTACAACGGAAAGAGAGGGTTAGAGAAAGTCGGTCTTAAAAATAACTTACCCTACGAACTTCCAAGGCTGGTTGTATCGTCTTTAAAACGAAGAGCTAACACAGCAGAACTGAGAAAAAGACAGCGACCAACATCAAACAGTAGACCCTTGGACACTATGGTCACACTCCAACGTTATCAAAAGCACTCCATACCCGATTTCCTATTAAGGTTCCTCAGGGGCATCCTTTAAGGTGTAAGAAACCAGGAAATTGTAACCAGCTTTATACCTCCGCACTTAACAACACCTCATCCGCAAGCCGCGTTAACCAAACTACTATGAACGTGAGTCAATGTTCCTGCGACGTGCACCTCTTAACTTCTACTCACCGAAAATGTTCATGATAATGCTTTCGAGTAAACAATAACAATGCTTTCATACACTTAGTTCATTTGTTGAAGTTGGTAAGACAATAACAACAATCGCTAAGCGCTGAAATAAATTCACTTTATATAACTTGTTCTGCCTTTTTTTAAAATGAAAATAATAGAAGACAATAGTAAAACATTGGAGTGAGATTGCATAATGTGTCACCGCTATTAATATTGTTGTTTACCGAAAAATAATAATCAGTATGTATCATAATACAAATTTCACTTTGACTAAACATATAACAATGATCGATAAGAGAAAAATTAAACAAATATGCACTTATGCTAAATTTTAAAACACATAAATCCCAGTTATTTAACATATCTTTTATCATTCGAACATTATTACTCATTGTATTATTTAACTCCGCTTGCAGCTCTTCTAATGTTACTGCCAGTTCCAAACCTGAATAAAGGAGGAGGGTTGTGCATGGGGTCGGCAACCACATCCCGTAGAAAAAACCTTGCTAAGAAACGCCAACCAGATTAAATAATTTGAACTCTGCCCTGGAAGTTAAAGGATGAATTATGACGCCTCATGATGAAAGCCAAGGTTCTTCGAAAGTCACGAGGCCGATGACCCTTTTAACAACTAGAACAACAATTTTTATAGGTACATGGAATGCTCGGACAAAGTGGGAGACCGGGAGGATCAGTCAAATAGCAACAGAAATGAAAAGATACAACTTGGAGGTTCTCAGAATCGGCGAAACCCAATGAACCCAAGCTGAACAGCAAAAGTTAGGTACGGGAGAGATGCCGATGTACTCCGGTGACGAAGAGAAAATTGTTCCACACACTCAGTGAATCGCTCGGATGCTGTCCAAAGAAGCACGAAATGCAATTATCGGATGGGAATCTCATGGACCCAGGATCATCAAAGCATCCTTCAAAACAAAGAATGAGAGAGTACACAAGGAATGTTATGCACCCACCAATGATAGCAAGGATGATGATAAAGATTAGTTCTATGAGAAGCTGCAATCGATTGCAGAGAAGTGTTCAGGAAAAGACCCGACCATCCTAATAGCAGACCTAAACGCCCAAGTCGGAATGGACAACAACTGTGACGAAGATATCATGGGAAAACATGGACAAGGAGAAAAGAAGGAAAGTCGGGAGAGATTTGTAAATCTATGTGCATTCAACAAAATGGTTATAGGCCTCATAAACGCTTAACCTCTAGACCACTGGGCCGACACGCGTATATAGCCTCTGCCAGGGAAGTCTTACTCACTGCCATCTCGCGGCATTACTGTTGTTTATGAAATTAAGAGGACGAAAAGAGAATGTCCGGCGCTTTAACCGGGTTGCTGAACACGGAGAGTCAACCTAGGGGAGTCGGAAAACCCTGATTCCAAACCACTGGTGCACATGGGCTCCAGTATCCTAAAGGAACAAATGGCGTATGAACCAATCGTTGGTCACCGGCTACCATGGGACTGCATCCCCTTACGATGCTCCACTGCTTTGTGGACCAGACCTTCACGTCGAAGGCTCCGGGTGTGGCCCCCTAAGAAAACCACCTGCTTCGGTTTGAGCACCCGGTCAGTATTACAGCCCTCACATATATCAAATGAGATTTGTGTGGCGCATATGTATTTGGTGCCCCCTTGTACCAATATCTATGTGTTAAAATAAATAAATAAATGAAAATTATAGGTCGCACGACATTCACACACAAACGCATACACAAAGTTACACGGGCCTAACCGGACTACAACACAGAGAACCAGAGAGATCATATTTGTACCAATAAAAAATTCAGAAGGACAGTGCAAGATGAAGGACAAGGAGAAGAGCTGACATAGCTTCAGATCACCGCATGGTGGTTGCCAAGATGAAACGGAAGCTAAAAAATATTGAACAGCTGGGGAAACATCAGTAAAAAGGTTCAATTCAGACTTCCCAAGAGATACTAACAAACTCAACGAATTCAAGATAACTCTCAACAACAAGTTTCAAGCTTTACAGATTCTACTGAAAGAAGAAGAAATTACTATGGAGGACAAATGGAAAGGGACTGAAGGAGCACTAACTTCGACGTGTCAGGAGGTTCTAAGTCGCAACAAGCATCATCATAGATAATGGACCTCTATTGAAACACTGGACAAGATTCAAGAAAGAAAGAACAAGAAGACAACAATTAACAACAGCCGAACAAGAACAGAGAAAGTCAAGGCACAAGCTGAATACGCAGAACCAAGTCAGTCAGTCAGCTACAACGTACGACCAGGCACATATATGCATCGGTCCAAGTTGCCACAACTCATTAACACAACAAGATGGACACCGGATTCATAAAAGTAGTTAATTCAGAGGTGGTAATATATAAAAGAAAGATTGCGTATAACGATATAATACAAGAAAAAAGAATTAGTTCGTAGAAAGAAAAATATAAAGCAATTTTTATCTCACAGTTTAAGGGAAGATAGAGAGTGTATACGCCTACTCCACTGTGATCGATTCTGAGCTATGTCACCCACAGTCTACAACCATTGGTTACGATAGTCACGCCGACCCCAACTAAGTAGTCTGCATCTATCAACATTGCTAGGACTAGAAGTTAGTGACTTCAAGCACTGATTCCACGTTTTGATTTGGCTGCCCCTAAATTTCTTCCAACCATGTTCAATATCGGTTAGCATTGCACGTCGTGGTAATCGATGTTCAGGCATACGTAACACGTGGCCCAACCGTCTCAGTCGATGAAGATCCACAACCTTATCAACTGATTTACCATCATTCCCTAATACCCAGCGTTTTACCTCTGACTCGACTAGTGGTGTTCGAGTAAAGAGCCTTCACAAGGTTTATGCACCCCTGAGGTACGCCTTTCAATGACAGATACTACCACAGAATCTCGCGGTCTACGGAGTCAAATGCTGCTTTTCAGTCAAGAAAGACCACCATTGTCGGACGCCGATGAGTATTTCTTGTGGGAAGGCAGCATCGCTGTCATGCTGGTTGTCTGAAGGAAACACCTTACTGCCGTCACACCTCTGTACAGTCAGCAGTACGACTTCGCCTTCGGACCTTAGGTTTGTTGCTTTTAGTCTTACCGCTCTTCAACCGACCTGTCTGACATGGTAGGACCTTGAGGAACGGTTGTTCCAGCCAGTATAGCTCGGTTGCTTCATCACGATAGGCAAGCTCGACCACCACGTCAAGGTAGCAACAACGGTCGGGACTCAGAGCCAAACAAGCAAGTGAAGAGGAGCATTATAGTCAACAAGCATAAATACGTGGAAGGGTTAGCAATAACAGCGGGAAAAGCTGCAAGAAAAGGAAATATGAAACAACTATATGACACAAGGAAGAAACTGGCAGGGAAATATAGTAAACCAAAGAAACCGACCAGGGACGAAGAAGGCAAGCCAGTCACTGAAATTCATGGACAGAGTAAAAGGTGGGTAGAATACTTCGAGGAACTCTTGAACAGACCAGCTCCGTTTAATCCACCGGATATCGAAGCAGCACCTACAAACCTTCCTATAGATTTCACTCCACCAACGATCGAAGAAATCGAGATGACCATCAGATAAGTCAAGTGTGGGAAAGTAGCAGAACCTGACAATATACCAGCTGAAGCACTGAAGTCAGACAGAGAAGTAATTGCAAGCATGCTTCATACTCTATTCAGGAGGATTTGGGAGGAAGAACAAGCGTTGACGTACTATAGTTCTCACACTTGCTTAAATCTTCTCTTTGGTATCTTGATGAGGTGTCCTTTCCAGAGGCAGCGCACTACTACAGGTACCAGGAAACGTTTTCAGCAGTGTTACTGAACTGGATGAAAGATTCAGTAGACTTCCAGCTTCAAGATCAACAGGTTGGATTCCATAAGGACAAGTCGTGTACATACGAAGTCGCGACACTATGGATCATCGTTGAACAATCAATTGAATGGAACACGTCACTATACATCGACTTCCTTGACTACAGAAAAGCATTCGACAGTGTGGATAGGAGAAAATTCTGAAGATCTTCGACTCTATGGTGTGCCTGAGAAAATCGTCAACATCATTCGGAATTCGTACAACAAACTAGACTGCAAAGTGGTGCATGGAGGACGGTTAGCAGGTGCATTCCAAGTGAAGACCGGAGTCAGGCAAGGCTGTTTACTCTTCCCCTTTCTCTCTCTTCTGATAGTCGACTGCATTATGTAGACGTCAACATCTGAGAGGAAGCACGGAATACAATGGACAAGTTGAATGCAACTAAACAATTCGGACTTCTCAAATAAACCATCCCTTCTATCCCATCACACACCAACAAATGCAGGTCATGACAAACAGTGTAGCAGCATCCTCTGCAACAGTAGACCTGAAAATACATAAATGAAAAAGCAAGATACTGAAATACAACACAGAGAACACCAACCCAATCACACTTGATGGAGAAGCTCTGGAAGAGGTTTAATCTTTCACGTATCTGGGAAGCATGATCGATGAACAAGGAGGATCCGATACAGATGTAAAAGCGAGGATTAGGAAAACAAGGACAGCATTCCTACAGTTGAAGAACATATGGAACTCAAAACAACTATCAACCAATACCAAAGTCACAATCTTCAATGCGAACGTCAAGACAGTCCTACTGCATGGAGCCGAAACTTCGAGAACTACAACAACCATCATCAAAAATGTACAAGTATTTCTAAACAATTGTCTACATAAGATACTGAACGTCCGTTAGCTAGATACCATCAGCAACAACCTACTGTGGGAGAGAACAAACTAACTTACAGCTGAAGAGGAGATTTGGAAAAGACACTGGAAGTGGATAGGACATACATTGAGGAAATCAGCAAATTGCATCACGAGGCGAGTGCTAACTTGAAATCCTGAAGGGAAACGGTAAAGAGGAAGGCCAAACAGCGCACTGTGTCGGCAATTGGAAGCAGACAGGAAAAGGATGAGTAGCAACTGGAAACAACTAGAAAGGATTGGCTAGGACAGGGTTGGATGGAGAGTGCTGGTAGGCAGCATACGCTCCTCCATGTAGGGTAACAGGCGTAAGTTGGATGATTTATTCTTTAAGTGTTCCATCTTAGCTGCTTTCATTTGAAGTAAGCAGAATGTATGAACTAATATATACGCATTACATGTTACCTAGTTAATTCAATAGATATGTAGATTGCAAGTGCATAGGAGAAATTTTCACAATACATCTAATTATACACAACCTTATATAACATCAATAAACGAGACCATACATTGCCAACATTTGAATACGGAAGGTATCCTATACGAGAAGGATTACACATGGATATGAACCAACACTAAACCTTTATTTATAAGTTTTAAATACAAGAAAAACAATTCTTTACTAGAAAAGATGTTAATAACTGCTATTTGTGTATACTCGTCAGGAATTACATAACAGATTTGTAAATTAAACTTTTAACTTATTAGTTATATAAAGAAGTTTAGAAGCTCAGTTTAATATGTAGAGTAATACTTCTAGTAGTATGAGTATAATTGATATAAGAGTAGCCAACCTTAAAAATTTATTGATTATATCTATATTCAGTTTGATTATCAACCAGCTAAATAAACACCAAACCAACTTTATCTTTTTTCAAGGTTTACATATAAAATAGTATGTATTGAACTGCTGATGATTAGTGTAACTGGTGAATTTTTTGATCACAGCAGAATTCTAAACTGAATCTTAGGGTATAAATCTACTGACTAGAATATTACTTATAAAGTGTGACAATAAATTTTATAATCCACTATCAAACAACAATGTAAAACCTGACACATCTATGTACATGTCCAATTCAACGGTCAGTATATAGATGAATTCACTGTCTTCAGAAATATTCCGTGCATTAACAACTGTTAGAAAAATGTTGTAGATTCTGAATGAAAACCCGAGTGAAGATAGCATTCACTGAATGGAAAATGTGGAAATGAAAAAAGTAGACAATAACATTCAGCATATCCTTAGCTTATCTGGTCCCTAAATGTTTATAGGAGTTAATGTTAAAAACCGAAAATCCGTCAAAAATCTTAATGATGAGTTTGAAAAACAAGAAGAAACATAAACTACTGAAAAATAGTAGGAAAAGTAACACAATATATTCACTAACTTAAAAGTATTCAAATTAAATCAGTTGTGTTTACCGCTACATCATTACTTAGCTATTTGATAGGTCTAATATTTGTATTATCCTATATTTGTTTAGATCTATTTTTTTACTTATTATCTGGGTACGCTATTGATAGATATAGAAATCGAAAGAACTGTACACATCAAACAATTGAAATAAACAACGCTAGATAATGATTAGTGCTATATGATGTGAAGAGAAATCAGTGTTTAATATCGGTTAGTGGAAATACTAATTGCTTAAAAGTGAAAAACATTAATAGTACATACAGTTTTAGATTAAACCATATAAACTGTTTATAACACATATATAACATACTTTCTAGAGGAGGCATTTTAACGTCTAATGGTGGCATTCCAGGCAGTGCAATCATCGTAGAAGTAGGTAGACTATCAGTGACAGGTTGAAAATATTGAGCACTTGACATTTGTGGTATATTAAACTGTGAATATTGAGGAGCATTTCCAACATTTTTTGTAGATTCGAAAGAAATCAAAGGTGCATCTGAAGATACGACAGGAACACCGCCAACAACAGATGGAGAACTTATTGATGGCATACTAAATATATTTGTCAATCCAGGAGGAAGAGGTGCAGGAGGCGGGATATTTGAATTTTGTGTAAATGCTGAAGATGGGACGGGGGCGTAAGCATAGTTAAAATGATCTACAGGAACTTGAGTAGGATAAGTAGTTGGAAGTGGTGTCGATGAAGGCGGTATTGTGGGTTGCATTGATGAAGATACTAGAGAAACCTACAAAAAAAAAGAATTTAATGGAACTTATGCTTGCTTATTTTAAAGGATAGTCAATAATTAATTGGGAATTTATTGGTGTAACAACCCGAATCGAGTCAAAATGGGGATAAAAACTGAAGATTGAAATTCTTTAAAACCTATTCTAATGATATAGGTTTTGAAAAATATGTAAAACACATTAATATCAGTGCAAAATTCTTGATATATTACTTTGTTGATACTTTGTTAGGACTTCTTCAATTTTCTCAAAATGACCAACGCTACAGTTTAAACAATTATTTTAACAAAAACTGACTGAACGTTAGTAAGTGTAGTAACTTCTATACATTACAGATACATACAAAAATATATTTTACAAAAAAAAGTAAAGTGGCTCATTTATTACTGTACCAAGACATAAATCATACGGATACTGATATACCTTAGATATGATACCTCAAAATTAGACCTAACAGACCTAATTGATTCGATAATGAATGATCTAAAAGTTAATTTCCTTTAATTGGCTGTTCCATTCATTACTAGTGCCCACAAATTGTTCTTATGTGGTTAACAAAAACGACATAACTGATTTTGGCATTAATAGTATTAGTTATTGTTGAACAGAGGACTTAGTATTCTCGGTACATAGATTGTTATACATTGGATTAGGTCACATGAACTATAGCTGTTTTAGTCTGAGAAACTAATTAAGATCATTAATCTCCAAAATTGCATGTTTGTCAGCATAATACACAAACGCACTAGAAAGAATGGAATACTATATTAGGTGTATATGCTATTAATATATGCTCGCTCACCTCAGCAAATTTATTTGATGGTGTATTGTTGAACGTATACGAAGGTGGGGGATAACAAGGAGCAGCAACTCCGTTAGTAATTTCATTTGATGACGCAGGTGGTAATTTTAATTCACTAACAGTTGACGGTTTTAGAGATTCCTGTGGATAATGCGGCGCATTGTTCGGTAACTGTGATGTTTCAGGCAGTGTTGATGCTGCTGTTGGAATACGATGTAAGTAACCATAACCAATATCACAACCGAGTAAGCCATTCCCACCCCAATTGGAATCAGGTTTGAGATGTACTTCACGACATGAATCCAATTCAGAATTATAAACATACAATTGAATCACGTGCCCGTCGGAAGAATCGATTAGTTCGAAAAAATCATCTCTCTTCATAGATATGTTAATGTATATAAAACATTTAAAGACAATAAGCTCATGAAAAAAGGGCTTGTTTATTAAGAAAAATACTAAACGATTATATAAAAAAACTTTCTGGATTTAAGTGTTATGTGTTTATTTGCATGTAATCTCCCAAAGATAAAGTCTGTATGCAAGCTGAATGTAAAGTAAACGTTTGTTAGTATGTTTGCGACAAGATTAATGTGAGACACTGCAGCGTGGGTCAGGATGATAAAAAGCCGGAATAATATAGGCTAATTTGAGATAGAATCATAGCTACAGAATGTGATACTGATACGCCCCATGACTGCTGGCTAGTTATTACGCTTGATATTAGACATATAAAATTAGTTTCAGCGGTGCAGGCACACTCACCCTACTTCCTTCTTAGATCTTCGGTTACAATGTAAATGGTTAGGCACTGTGTTACGAACACTACATCTACATACATTACAATATTACAAATGAGACTGAAGTTAATTGGTGCAAACTAGTCACCAAGAGCAAGCTTGGCTTACACTCAGACTTTGCGTAAACCTAACGATAATCGGCTCTCTAAACCGAATTGGGACAAGGCGATTTAAACTCAAGCACTTTGACCACCTGATCGTCACCGCATGTATTAGGAAAACCAAATGTGTGATTTATAATTTCAGCCACGTATCAAATCGTTATGGGGAGGATTTTGAGTAGGTTCGTGGATTGTTGAATGAATAAATCCAATGGTAATCGACAGCTGATATACAATGTGGTCACGTGATAAGTGCTCATGAGACCGATTGATTGGCGTAAGCCAGAAACTGTACTGATATCAACAGACGACATAAAGGAAGAAAATTAATTTTGTAGGTTACTCGAATTTCAATTAGGTAAGACCCTTCTTGTTATATCACATCATTACACTGGGCTACAAATTCAGAAAAGTAATGATATGATAGGAGTGAACGAATGTCGATATGGTGATGTTAAATTTGATTTGTGGTCGAATGACCTAATGAACTTATGTTTAACATAACGTTTGGTCATGTTTATTTTTGTGTTTAATATTTTTCATAGACTTTCGTTATTTTATTAAGTAATAAGAACGTGCTCTATAGACTTGTGATATCAGTTTATTTAGAGGCCTTTGTAAACAATTCGATCTTGTCAGCAGTTATTAATGGATTATATTGTATCACCGTTAATAATCTATTAATAGGTACTCAGTTCATTATTTGAACAACAAGAAGCATTCGTTACAAACCGAAAACTCCGCTATAACTATATATATAACGAAATGCAATTATCGGCATTTAATACAATCAAAAAAATCGGAAATGGGGCAGTGACTCGGTGGTTAATGTACTTGGCTTTTAACCAACAGATTACAGGTTTGAATCCCATAGTCTTATACAACCTGATAATGACATTAGTCCCTAAACCCAGTGTGGCTCGAAGTCGAAAATTTAAACATGTACTTAGTAAATTATTTAATCAACAACATGAATAAAGCGCAACTAGTTGCCCCCTAATACCCTGGTACGGCCGAGAGTGGGGAGAGTCCGCTCTCCCTCTCGAAATACTCTCGCACGGCCGCGCGTATACAGCCTCTGCCAGGGAAGTCCTACTCATTGCCTTCTCGTGGCGGGGGTGTTGTTTACGAAAATGAGAGGACGAAAAGAGAATGTCCGGCGCTTTAACCGGATCACAAACCAATGGTGCACATGGGCTCCAGTATCCTGCGGGAACAAATGGCGTATGAACCACTCGTCGGTCACCGGCTACTATGAGACTGCATCTCCTTACGATGCTCCACTGCCTTGTGGGTTAGACCTTTAGGTCAAAGGCTCGGGGTGTGGCCCCTTAAGATAACCACCTGCTTCGGTTTGGGCACCCGGGCAGTATCACAGCCCACACAGAAATGATGAACTCTCTGTCTATGGAAATTAATTTTCTCGCTTCGAAAAACAATCAATTGATTCAAATTATTATCACTACAACTATTGTCATTATTAATACTATTATTATTAATATTATTGTCATTATTATTATTATTATTATTATTATTATTATTATTATTATTATTATTATTACTATTATTTTCCACATTATTCACCCTCTTTTATACTTATACAGCGGCTCGTCTTTGGTGGAAATTCGACTGTATCTAAACGTTCTCAAGTCATTGTCCGGTTCAAAATTGTATGTTACCAACGAATATGAGTTCTGAAACAGTTTTTTTCTGAAATCACGAGTAACATTCAAACTGGCTGCCTTCAACGTTCGCACACTTATGCAGGTTGGACAACAGATAGGGCTGGCTATGTCTTTGGAAAGTCATAATATCGATGTCTCCTGTCTATCCGAGACCCGTATTCAAGACTCTGGTGAAGTACTACAAATTCGCTCTAAATCTGTCACTTCAAAAAGCTTGTTTTACGTGCGCTTATCCGGAGACTCTGTGGCATCTTCGTCTGGTCTTGCTGGCGTTGGTGTTTCACTAAGCGCTAGAGCTGAGGCAGCACTAGTCGATTTTATCCCCATTAATAGTCGGTTATGTGCTGTTAGATTAGAAAGTTCCATCAAAGTGAGAAGAAATCGGCGTGAGAAACGATGTCTTTTCGTCATCTCCGCCTATGCCCCGACAGATTGCAGCCCGGATGCAATCAAGGATGAGTTTTACCACCAGTTATCTGTTCTTCTCCAGAAAGTGCGTTCGACAGATATTGTAGTACTAGCCGGAGACTTGAATGCTCAGGTCGGGCGTCTAGGCACAGAAGAGAGTCGTTTAGGTGGCCGATGGGGACTCGTTGGTCGCAGGTCAGATAACGGGGACCGTCTACTGCAACTTTGCACAGACCACAACTTGTTTCTGACTAGCACTAACTTTCGGCACAGTCATCGCCGATGTGCCACCTGGCGTCCTCCCTCTACATCTCAAGCCTGGACTCAGATTGATCACATCGCGATCAGCTACCGCTGGCGTGGTTGTGTACAAGACTACCGCTCCTTTCGGAGTACCTATCTGAACTCTGACCATGCCTTGGTCTGCGCCAATCATGCCTTACTTTTCAGTGGACAACGAAGTGACCGCCATCAACGGATTGATATTAACAAGCTGGTTGCAACTTCTGTTGCAAGTAAGTATCGAACCGAGCTAGCCTCTAGGCTAGCTACCACTCCACCGAAAAGTATAGATGAGCATTGGTTGCAATTGCATGACGCCATGAAAATAGCGGGTACAGTCAGTTGTGGGTTCGCGAAACGTCCCGCTTATAAGCACTGGGTTTCTTCTGGTTCCTTACAACTCATTGAAGCCCGTCGGTCTACTCCGGGTGACCGTGAGTTTGACCACAAACGAAGGGTGTTACGTAAGGAAATTGGGCAAAGCTTGCGTAAGGACCGAGAAGCCTGGTGGTCAAAGCGTGCTAATGAGCTGGAAGCAGCAGCTGCATCTGGTAATTACCGGAAGCTCTTCCAACTCATTCGAGCCACTGGCAGCAAGAAGTCTGGTGTGAGTGAAACAATCTACGAGGATGATGGGATGCCAATCACTAACATCCATCGACGTCTTGGACGATGGGCAGAATTTTTCGAAGGGCAGTTCAACTGGCCTGCTGCTCCGGCAACATCGGTCAGACGGTCCTGCCCTCCATGGCCGGTGACGACTGATCCACTAAACGAGGAGGAAGTCCGCAAGGAACTCCAACTCTTGAAGCGTTACAAATCACCTGGTCCAGATGACTTACCTCCGGCTCTTTTTGAAGATGGTGGTGATTTTCTGACTAAGGAATTGACGACGTTGTTTACAAAGGTTTGGGAGCTAGAGAGTGTACCAACGTCATGGAATGAGTCGATAGTTGTCCCTATCTTTAGAAAGGGTTCATGTCGTTCTTGTAACAACTATCGGGGGATAAGTCTACTTCCGATTGCGTCCAAGCTATTAGCTTCCGTCATACTTCGTAGGTTGTTCAAAACCCGAGAAAGATTGACTCGCGAGGAGCAGGCTGGGTTTCGTTCTGGTCGAGGATGTATTGATCATATCTTCACCCTCCGCCAAATGTTAGAACACCGCCATACTTGTCAAAGGCCAACAATCATAGTGTTTCTTGACATCAGGGCCGCCTTCGATTCGTTGGATAGGACTGTTATCTGGGATTGTCTATTGAAGAAGGGTGTGCCTGAGAAGTTTATTAACATCCTAAAAGCCCTATATAAAAACACCTCAGGCAGAGTGAGGGCATACAACCACCTCTCTCCACTGTTCCATTCGAGCAGTGGGGTTAGACAGGGTTGCCCAATCTCACCATCCCTCTTCAACTTTGCCATCGATGACATTCTGGAAACAGTTCTGATGGATGTAAGTAATGGCGGTGTGGACCTGTTGCCCGGAGAAAGACTTCTCGACCTTTAGTATGCGGACGATATTGTCTTACTGTGCGATAATGCCCAAGGCATGCAATCCGCACTTAATCAGTTGGCAATCAGTGTCCGTAGGTATGGTATGTGCTTCGCACCTTCGAAGTGCAAAGTACTCTTACAAGACTGGCAGGACCCTGATCCTGTACTCACCCTGGATGATGAGCAGATAGAAGTAGTCGAGAAGTTCGTGTATCTGGGTAGCTGCATAAGTGCTGGTGGTGGCGTGAGTGATGAGATCAATGTACGTATAGTGAAAGCCAGAGCTGCTTATGCCAATCTGGGCCATCTTTGGCGCCTTCCTGATGTTAGTCTGGCTGTAAAAGGTCGGATCTACAACGCGTCGGTGAGAGCAGTTTTGCTCTTTTTATTTATTTATTTATTTGAACACATAAATATTGGTACAAGAGAGCGCCAATATATGTGCGCCACACCGCCAATATATATGCGCCACACCGCCTGGCCTCTCCGAGTTGAGAATGTTAGATGACTCTCTATGTTCGATCATCGTTGTCTCCGAAGGATTGCTGACATCCAGTGGCAACACCATGTTAGTAATGTAGAGGTTCGGCATCATGTGTTCGGGCACAAAGACGATAGTGCAATTGGTGTCACCATCTTGAAACACCGACTTCGGTGGCTTGGACATGTTCTCCGAATGTCGTCCCATAGAATTCCTCGTCGTGCATTATTTGCCGACTCTGGGACTGGTTGGAAGAAGCGGAGAGGCGGTCAGTGTATGACATGGTGTCGTGGCATGAAAGAAAGCTGCAAAGGACTGGCTTGTGTTGGACCTTCACGACTCCTTGGTTGGGGTCTGAGAAATGGTGTAACACAGTGGCTAGAGACGTTATCAGATATGGCTCAGAATAGAAGCCAGTGGCGATCCTGCTGTAACCTTCTTTTACTTTCTTCATAAAAAGTGGTTGCGTCTCCCTTAACTGAAAGATTTCTTCCGTTTGTACCTTTCCGTTCCCTCATTTCTACCATACTACCTTACACCAATCTCCTCGTTATTGTCCGCTTTTTTTGCGCTCCTTAGCTTTTTTTCTATTTCTCTTCGAATTCTCATTGTTTTGTGTGGCGCATATATATTGGCGCTCTCTTGTACCAATATTCATGTGTTCAAATAAATAATAAATAAATAGTTAATATGCGGCAAAATACATCGAAAACAAGCTTACATTATTCAATACGGAGTTTGCACCAATTATGTAATCTGTGTATGGTTTTAATCCAGCTAAATCCGCTGGTGATTTAGACTCTACACCTAATACGTGCCATACATTTTCATTAGCTCTGTCAAATGAACAATATCGAATACTGACACCCATCAAACCCTGACCACCCCAATGATTATTGGGTATTAGAGTTACTTCACGACAAGATTGAGATTTAGACGAATAAACAAGTAGGCGAACAGGTTTATCTTTATTGGCCTGTAATAAATCTCTAATGCAGTCATTATCTTCCTCCTAAATAAAGGAAAATGGGTAGATAGTAAAAATATATGGTGAAATGGAATTAAATATTTATATATTGAAAAATTATACTTCTTCATTCAACAGGAATGAGGTCTGTGCAATAACCACAACCAGTAGTTAGAAACCTAAGTTCAGAATCGGTTACAATGACCTAGATCGATTTGTAATAAGTGCGACGCCAATCGACAGAGAGAGGAGAGTCGCCAACGAGAATTCTGGTGATAACTTCCATGTCCCCTGTGTAGTGCTTCGTCTATAGCCTAGCGTTCTAAGGTTCGACCAACAATACGTTTAGACTAATAAAACTAAACATGAGTTGAGACCGAGATAATCTTAACTCTTACTGGTCTGCCGATACACCCACTCCTATCCCCAGTCTTAAATCCCAATAAAAGAACACAGTAGGGGAGCTCTTATTATTTCAGATACCTATGAATTTATATACAGGCACATTGTTTATACATATACAAACCAAAACTGAAGTGAAAAGGGCAAGTGGCAAATAATTAATTAGCTAGAATTAAGCAATGGTAAAATGTATAGTAAAAGTTTATGGACCCAACATTAGCCTATAATAAGGGGAATATAGAAAAATAGTAGTCCAGTTATTGAGTAACAACATGATAAGAATATGTATATATATTTCATAAGATAGTTTCGGAAGTTGCCAGATCTTAGGTGTTCCTTTCACACAGCAGCATTTATTAATGATTGATTAATCTTCCATGTGGATATCCGTTTGATTGTCATTACTTTCTGGTGAAATATTTGAGATATGATTGATTTATACTTGAAAGATACATTCTTCTTAGGTTAACACAAGACAGAAACTCTCGAACATCTTTGATGAAATCCTTAAAATCTTAATATACTTTTTCCCCTACAAATCCAAAATACCACATCAAACTAAACTAACCTAGAGTTAATGAAAAATGTTAGCGATTCATAACAAAGGGTTGATGAATGCAACCTACACATAACACATCGTAAAGTCAAATAAAGTAGCATGAATACATCTACTATCTATTTTAATCCAAATGTTGACCATATCATTTATTCATTATAAGCACTAATTTACTTTGCTGCTTTTATCGTACTGCCGTTAATAACATTATTCTTGTTGGCTTGATTTCTCTTTCTATGGGTTTTTATTGTTGTGAAATAAGGTGAAGCAACCTGGAACAATATTCATTTGTGCCATGTTTTACATCGTCCGGGTTTGTCTTTTATATCCATTTTAAATAAATAAGTTATTATGAATGAAACAATCCACACACTCAATAACAAACTTCAAATTTGCGCATTTTCTGACGGCTAACAATAAGAACTGGCTAACTACAATGAATGCAACGAGTCGAAATTTGATATCCAAACAAACTAACAGTGAGAACAAAATAGACTGGATTCATCTGCAGAAAATCCTAGTCATGGATTTCAGTCGTTCAGTACAAAATGAAAAAATAGTTAAGCACTGTCTCTGTTAAAAAATAATGTTGATAAAATATTATACAGCTTCAATATCAGTAATTCAGTTTTTGTAACTCTTTACTTAATACCATATACCATTTCATGACCACAACAAATTACAACTCAATTAGGCATACAGACAAACAGTAGTGTGAGCTTTTGGATTAATATACTGAAAAATATGAATTAAAATAACATAGAGACAAATCTTAACTAAGTTACTCACCAGACGTTTGTCGCCAACTGCAACGATGAAATCGAAAAAAGCTTCCAAACCAGCTTGATGACCAGGTGAACCGTCCTGAACCTGAGAAGAAATTTTTTCAAAAGTAAAAACAACGCGTTGTTACAAAGGTAAATGTCAAAAGTTGTTTTAGCTTACTAACAATTATCAACAGTCAGTCACCTGCAACGTAAGAACAGGTACATCTATGCATCGGTTCAAGTTGCCACAACTCATTAACACAACAAGATGAACATCAAATTCATCGAAGTAGTTACTTCAATGGTAATAATACATAAAAGAAAGATTGCATATGAGGATATAGTACAGGAAGAAAGAATTAGTTCGTAGAAAGAAAAATATAAAGCAATTTTTATCTCACGGTTTAAGGGAAGATAGAGAGTGTATACGCCTACTCCACTGTGATCGATTCTGAGCCATGTCACTCACAGTCTACAACCATTGGTTACGATAGTCACGCGGACCCCAACCAAGTAGTCTGCATCTATCAACATTGCTAGGACTAGAAGTTAGTGACTTCAAAAACTGATGCCACGTCTTAGTTTGGCCGCCTCTAACTTTCTTCCAACCATCACCAACACTAGTCAGCAGCATTGCGCGTTGTGGTAATCAGTATTCAGGCATACGTAACACGTGGCCCAACCATCTCAGTCGGTGAAGATTTACAACCTCATCAACTGATTTACCATCATTCCCTAATACCCTATGTCCAACCTCACTATTATTTAGCCGGTGATCCCAGCAGATGCGAGCAATATTTCTAAGGCATCTGTGGTTAAATACTAGTAGCTTACGAATAACTTATACTCTGAATGGCAACGTTGCGCAGTCGTAAAGTAGAACATAACGAACTGTTGGGCAGTATATTCGTCCCTTAATTGATATACGGATATCTCACCTTCACCATAGGCGACGTAAGTTGGCAAAAGCCAAACGAGTTTCCTGAATCCGTGCTGAGATTTCGTTAGATACCAACCCATGAGGGCGGATCAAACTTCCAAGATATGAGAAGTTGTAGTCGCATGTGAAGTTATGAGTTATACATTACTGACAAATCGATGAACTAAGACGAAACATCTATACATGCTAGCATTTTCGGCATGCTATTCTCCCCCTCGAAACGCAAACTGTTGCTTCAGGATTGGGTTGCATTGACACCCGAACTAATGATAGGGAGTGAAGTAATTGAGCGTGTCGATCGCTTCACTTATCTCGGAAGTCTCATCAGCCCTTGTGGTCTGGTGTGTGACGAAATCTCAGCACGTATACAGAAGGCTCGACTAGCTTTTACCAACTTGCGTCATTTATGGCGTAGGCGAGATATCCGTCTATCAACCAAAGGACGAGTTTACTGCGCAGCAGTTCGTTCCGTCCTACTTTATGGCAGTGAAACATGGCCGGTAAGAGTAGAGGATATTCGTAGGTTACTAGTATTCGATCATAGATGTCTTCGAAGAATTGCTCGCATATCATGGGACCACCGAGTAAGTAATGCAGTTGTTAGGAAACGGGTACTAGGTAAGGATGGCAAATCAATTGATGAAATAGTAAAACCTCACCAGTTGAGATGGCTGGGACATGTGTTACGTATGCCCAACCACCGACTGCCCTCCAGGTGCGATGTTTTGTGGTGTAGAAGTAGGTTGGAAGAAAACTAGGGGCGGTCAGACCAAAACGTGGCACAAATACATGAAGTCACTGGCAAGCGGACTGAGCCATGTTGGTAGGTGTAGACTACCTGGTTGGGGACTGCGACATGATAGCAACCAATGGTTAGAGATCTTGCATGACATGGCTCAAAATCGTTTGCAATGGCGCAGGTGCATCCACTCTTTGTATCTTCCCAAATTCTAATCTTCTAAGTTCTTCGTGTCCTTTTTCGCTTTCCAAATTTCTTTCACTGGATTATACTCCTTGAATAACATCTTCAAACCATAATGTTTCCGATTACTCCTTATACTATTACTAACACTACCACCAAGGGGTTTGAATCGACAACTGCATCACTGTGCTAATGCGGTACGGCAACTCGAACTGATGTACGTACGTACCAAGTTCTACGTTGTTACTGACTGACTGACTGACTGACTGGAAGAGAAATGTTAACTCAACTATCTTTCATCCAATATTTTTTTTATTTTTATTTGAACACATAAATATTGGTACAAGGGGGCACCAAATACATATCCGCCACACAAAACAGTGAGAATGGGAAGAAGAGAAGAAAGGAAGGTAAGGAGCGTAAAAGAAAAAAAAGAACGATAACGACCAGATTAGTGTAGGGTAGTGTAATAATAACAATAATAATAATAATACTGGGAGAGACGGAAAGGTACAAACGGAAGAAATCTTTCAGTTAAGGGAGACGCAACCACTTTTTATGAAGAAAGTAAAAGAAGGTTACAGCAGGATCGCCACTGGCTTCTATTCTGAGCCATATCTGATAACGTCTCTAGCCACTGTGTTACACCATTTCTCAGACCCCAACCAAGGAGTCGTGAAGGTCCAACACAAGCCAGTCCTTTGCAGCTTTCTTTCATGCCACGACACCATGTCATACACTGACCGCCTCTCCGCTTCTTCCAACCAGTCCCAGAGTCGGCAAATAATGCACGACGAGGAATTCTATGGGACGACATTCGGAGAACATGTCCAAGCCACCGAAGTCGGTGTTTCAAGATGGTGACACCAATTGCACTATCGTCTTTGTGCCCGAACACATGATGCCGAACCTCTACATTACTAACATGGTGTTGCCACTGGATGTCAGCAATCCTTCGGAGACAACGATGATCGAACATAGAGAGTCATCTAACATTCTCAACTCGGAGAGGCCAGGCGGTGTGGCGCATATATATTGGCGGTGTGGCGCACATATATTGGCGCTCTCTTGTACCAATATTTATGTGTTCAAATAAATAAATAAATAAAAAGAGCAAAACTGCTCTCACCGACGCGTTGTAGATCCGACCTTTTACAGCCAGACTAACATCAGGAAGGCGCCAAAGATGGCCCAGATTGGCATAAGCAGCTCTGGCTTTCACTATACGTACATTGATCTCATCACTCACGCCACCACCAGCACTTATGCAGCTACCCAGATACACGAACTTCTCGACTACTTCTATCTGCTCATCATCCAGGGTGAGTACAGGATCAGGGTCCTGCCAGTCTTGTAAGAGTACTTTGCACTTAGAAGGTGCAAAGCAGACACCGTGCCTACGGAGGTTTTCCGCCTTTTCAACAAGAAATCAGGATTACCAATCATGCTCAGTGTAGAGATTCTTGTGACAACATGCGTAAAAGACGTCAAGATCGCCACAGCAGTGATTTAAAACTGGAAATATGTTAAGTGGTGATATCCATTAAACTCAAGCACGCGCTACCAGACCTTACACAATGCTACCAGAGAGTGTGAGTAATAATTTATAGGCAAGCACCACAGAATGCGAGACCTTGCAACATACACAGCTTAGATATTCTTAGGTTTATTTGCATAGACCAAACATGCCCGCACTTAATTGTAACGAGTCTAGTATTTTTCTAAGGTAAGATAAAGATTGTTCATATTACCATAAATTGCTCTAACTATTGACATACACAGATTTAGTTTGTCTGTAATACATGAGAAACCACCAACATGACTACCTAGGTAAGCAATGCTTAAGATCGATTCCAACATCTCCCTACTACGAATAAGTGCAATCAAAGACCTTCCCCATTCCTGTAAAATTAATGTGCATTTTGATGGTGTCATAAATACAACCAAACGAATTTAATTTTGTTAAAAAACAAGCTTATGTGTGAAACATCTGGAGTTTCATTTTTCGATATTTTTGTAAATAAATAGTAAGAGAAACAACACAGCCATATTCCTAAAAAAATTCTAGGCACTATCAAACTAAAAAAAGGACAACTAAACTTGTCAAACCGCTTACATACGTTTCCGTTATTTAAAATGACTCAGGTTCATATACTGCACTACGCCAGTTCCGTGAGTGATACTAATACTATATGACCTCGCAACCCAGAGGAGGTAGAAATTATTTGAAAGCGAAAACCACTCGGCGAACTGAAAGCAATGTAGGGTTTGGAATAGATGTTTATGCCGACCGAAGTCGCCACACTAATTAGATGCAGATGTAAACAATTTGGAGATAAACTGTGACACTTACATGAATAAGGATTAAACATCTATAGTGTTGCACCTTCAGTGAGTCGATTTTCAGATCTAAAACAAATGTTCTAACCCGAACCTAAATACGTAACCACAGAAGACCTTCTAAAGTGAACTGCAACTATCGTTTCACATCAAAAATCTTCGAAAACTCTCCGTTGATTTGAGCCAAGATGGATAAGCACGCAATTTCAAATGCATTTTATAGCCCCTACTGAGTTTTCGTACTCCATCAGACAGGTTGAGCATTTTTATGTCAGCTACGCAGGAGACTATTTTAGCATGATATATGAGCCATCCCTTAATTAACCCCAAAAGGATTAGAAGATGAAATAATCCGCTTCGCAATTACTGCTGCTTTTCGGGCTATTAGGGTTTCGGAATTTGTGAAAGGAATTATTCTGCCTCTTTTAATGTGCAGAGAGCATGAGATAAGGTTACCAGTCGGACTATGAAACTTGAATTAACACGGCCGAACATGGCTCAAATAAAACACGTGGATAATCAGATAGTATACTGCAAATTTGACACGTATACATGTGTACAGTATTCTTTTTGAACGAGAGAACGGACGTGACATACAACTCAAAGAACCACGGATCAGTTGACATGCATAAATCTAACAAAGTTTTAGCTTTCCGTAATAAACTGACTACCTACTTTCGACTAAAATCTACGCTGGTGACTGATGAAACTAAATCTATAGTTACTGTTTACTTTAATATATATCTGCACCTGTATGTGGCTTCGGAGATATAGGTAGAATAGCTATATTTCGGCCTAGTGCAAATTATTCTAGTGACCACCAAGCTTTTAAACAAGTGAAATCCAGACAAGCACTTTTAGCATTGTTAGAACATCCGGCAAAAATGTGAGGTTCGTATATGAGGATCTTAACACTTGGTTTCACAAATCCTGATTCATAATGTGGTTGGACAAGCACAAAAAATTCAGAAATGCACTTACTCGCAGAATGTGGTACCCAGACGTCCCACCACCAGGGATCGGAGAGCTTGCTGAACCGCCCATTATTTGATTACGAGTACAAAACGTGTGCAGTAGAAATAAGATTGTCCCGGTTTAATTGGACATTTGACACAGTACCAAATAACATGGTGATATCCCACTTCTTTGTGATATGCCAGAGAATATAATTTAATTTCTTATTTCTAGTGTCTTTGTGCTACTATATGATTCCGTGTCGTTATTATAATTCGGCGAAAGTATTCTAGCTATTCATCTTTATTAGTCCCAGTGGTTTGAACAGCTACTTGAAAGTAAGAATATTCAGGTTTTCAATGACTGCGTTTTTGCAGGGCACTATGATTGTTGTCGCTAGCAGCTACGGCTTCACCGGAGAGGAAAAAAATTGATTTGTATGAAAATTGCAATATTAGAATGCAGATGAGTGAAGAGAGAATAAAGGTCAGGAGAAAACTTTCATTCATGAAAATAAACGAATTGCTAAAATAAAGTGTGTAACTAGAATATATGCCCAGAAAGAAATAACTCAAAAAAGCAAGGCAGATACTTAGAAATATTAGTAATAAATCACACCAATAATAATGCATAAGTTGAGATACAAGGATCAAGCAAGACAGGTACGTGAATAAACACATCTGCATCTTATTGAACATAATTGGCCGGTGTTTCAGTCGGAAGACAGTAAACCCTTAGTTTATCATGGTCGTCAAATCTCCTTGTAAATTTGTTCACCTGGGCTGAGTCACATCATCGAGAAGAGCGTTCACGACAAGGCTGATACTCAGTAATATGGTAGTTCTCAATCGATTCATTACCCCTTGACGTGCCGTTTGCCGAAACCTAATCATTAGGATGCGAACTACAAGAGGAATTCTTTCCTCACGACGAAATTGGTAGGTAATTCAATGTTCTTGAAATTTTTCTCTGAATCCTATTACTCACTTTGTTGGAGCTACTCTGTGTATTTCCGTAATGCATGTCGCTGCTGTTCAGGTTTTCTGTCGGCGACAAGCCTGAATAACGCTCCATCAACATGATCGAAAAATAAAGATCACAGAGAAAATATGTCATATTACTCTGCTGGAATTCGGAAACATGTCGCTTTACATTTCCGTATTTCGGGACAAAAAGTGCTATACAACTAACTGGAACTGTATTAACGATGACACCAACATCGACTGGTTAAAAGCCGATTTATATTAAGGCATGTTCCGTGACAGGTATGTGTTGTGGCGCTATGGATTGTTTTTTCTTAACCAATCAGCGCTAGCGGATACTCACAAAAGACTCTAAAGTCTTATTATATAAAAGCTACAAATATATCAACCTTTATTCCTATTATGATTCCGTCTTCTGTCCAACCTTGTTTACTTAGCATATAATTTCACTCTTGTTCAACTGTGCTCTGGTCTGGGAACTTATTGAGTGAAGTAGCGTCTAAGGGTACTAAGTAACAAGAGCATCTGGGTCGTCAACAAGTTCATTAACAGCCTTCAGTAGCATTTACATTTTTCGATTAAATGGGTTTATTAAATATTAGGCACTAGCTATATATGATTCTTAATCGACGTCTGCCTAGTTTCCTGCTTTTCAGTTCTATTGCCAAACAATGATGAGAATACTGCAGAAACTAAAGAAGAGTTTAGGCCATAAAGTTTCTGAAATCTTAAGCTCGTTTTAAATTGTTCAAACGGTAAAGCCGAGTATTTAACTGGGTCATTTTCGGATTTGTACTGGATCAGTCGACTGACAGTGTCAACAGCACCACACATCCTGGAGTCAGTTGCAGCATCGTCTGTTTAATATGGTTACTTGTTGATCTGCACTTTTGTCACAGCTGGATGTATATTCCTAAAACCTGTTGGATAATCTAAATTCCGAAAATAATGAAGACGAGTTTCACCACTTCGCCAGATGATTTTCCATGCTTTTGGTACTTCCTAACATATATATTGTCACTTAGACTCGACGTATATGTAGTTCATATAAACCACTCGTAAAACCGTTTTTTGAACTAAGACATATCTAGTAGCTTCAAATGACAACATATTACAATTGCAAAGTCTGTCATTTATAAGAGAACCGTATTAGACCCAACATTAGTCTGATAATCGTCACTACATATTTAAGAATGCTACTAGGCTGACTAAAGCGAACTCTTATGAAGTTTATATTATGCCCGTCTTGTTCTTAGTTGCGATGCCATAACTCATGTTTGAACTTCAAAATATTTTTCAGCCGATTCGTATTTTGTATATTGGTACATCCCCTTACCAACTTACTTCTTAGACTAGCTTACAAATGCGTAACACTGTATGATATTTATGCCATTTGAATTCAAAAATTATTTGGATCTGCCTTAACATTTTCCACCAAACCCATCATAGTCGTTATTGGCATGCATATTCGAGTTTAAAAATTGGGCTGTCATATTAATTGCCTGAAAAGGCGTGTAACATATTTAAAATAATAAAGTCACAGCATTATTATATTATAGTTCCGCACTGGTATAATAACTAAATTAACACGTAGTTGTTAGTCAAGAGAGCATTGAAAACAAAAACTCTGAAGCCTATTACTAAGATTAACACCAAGTGGACACATGTTTCTGGATTACAATTTGTAATATAACCAGGTAGCCCAGATCAGCTCATGCTGCGAAATTCGGATATTTTAAAAATCTCCTAACGTCGATGTATATTTTGAACAATAAAATTATTAAACACCTAAACAACCAATAAACATTTCTGACTGGCTAATGCCCAATCAACATCCATAGTGATTTCTCAAGATCGTCATTAAGTATTGTTACAACTTAACAATCAAGTAAAATGACAGGTATATGACAAAACTGTCAATAAAAATATCCTTCGTCAAATTGACGGACAGTTCTCATTAAGTAGTTTTCTCGTGGCCATCTTTATATAACAGATGATTTCAGTGGGTGTTTCCGCCGGCTGATTCTTTGGTAAACAACTTTGAAGCTTTTTAGCCTGATGAGAGGCTTAGCAACACAATCACTCATGAGAATCATTGGTATACTCAACGACGCAAACCATCTGCAAACTGAAAACATCACTGTCAAATCTATCCCAACACTGACAAAGGTTCATTTTATTATCATAAGCATGAGATGGGAGTTGTATTCTCTTTGACTATAACTTATGCTGTCCCTAATAATCACATGAGTCGCACTCATCGTTTATCGTCTTTTAAAAAGTTATTTAACTAGAAGCATCATACAACACCATGTAACCTATATTTACGGTACATAAGCCCAATCAATTTCACTGTTTCAAACCTACACCAGGCTCGAAACTTGCAGCAGACTTGTATACACCATCAACCTACGTGTATGAGTATGAATAATTGATTTATTGCACATAAAAGCATCGAGTCTAGAGCAGGTCTCCCCCTGAAGCACTCATATTCAACGCATTATTATCAGCAGTTTGTTCAAAATCCATAAAGTTATCAGGATTTTCATGTATTGAATTGATATTTGACAACAGTTTTTTTAGCCACCATCACATTGCTTCTATATTATTGATATGTGCTCCCGTGGTGTGGCCTACGAAATGCAGCTTGTGAACGACGATACGATGCACGTAACCAAACCTAAATAGTGGCCGATATTCTCTCCAGTTACCTTTGTGGTGTGGTGCTCGGCAGCACTTAGTATCGTACAAGCGGTATGGCAGTTGTCATTTGTCATGTTGTAACGTGTCAGAAGTGTCCCTTCTGAGGTTATTGATCATATACCAAAGGCCTGCTAAGTATATTTAAGGAGGCGTTGCCTACTCATTCTTTTTCGACACTTCTTCCTCTATTGAAATTTCGTCTTCTGATAACCGTTTCATCGATTTCTACGATTTTTCCGATTCTGATGCAAGCTTGTCACTTTCACTGCATATATACTTCGACAGTACTCATACCACTGAACTGTCAAAACTTAAATAACTTCAGTAACATCGGCAAATGTTGCAGCTACTACTACTAGTGCTTTCATTATCCAGTTCGCAATAATCATCGTAATCCACCGTATTGTACATTAGAATCGAACGAACAAGGTTCTTGTTCTAAGAGATTTTCTCCCCAACATACATTATTTCAAGACACAAAATCTGCACGATAGTTTGTGCAAAGTCCCAAGTCACTCGAACACTTCAATCAGTTAGTTCAGTCATTTGTTTTTACATCATGAACTTTTAATTTAATTTGCATTTAATTTATTAATATTATCCCATTTACCAAAGCCAACATCGAAATGTGATTGGATTAGCACCGTATAGATTTAATTCTATTCGATTGTTAAACGCTATATATTTCTTTGGTGATTTTGATTACTACCCTAGAGAAGTTCAAACAAGTTTGCTAAAAGAAGCTGTGGGATTATTCAAATTTCAATCGCTGAGATTAGGTCAAACATAAATTTAACATATAATTCTTTATTATAACTGTTGAATAACCGTTTCTTGTGTTTTCTTTTGATCTCTACGATTATTGATTATGTTGCACACATTAGTTCTTAGAAATAACTTGGACCGCGACTCGATAAAACTCAATGCAACTAGAGACTAATCAGGTTAGAAATCAGAAATACTCTGAAACTTTCTCTCAAAAGCATCACCAACGATAAAAATGTGAGCCCATTCTTATACTATTAGTTTTCAACTATTACCGCGCATGATGCTGTTCAACCGCCTAATTTTAAATCCGTGCATATGGCCTTAAAATTATTAGAATTCATAACTATTCTATCTAACTCCACGCTCTATTTCATGCTACTGTGCATTACTGTTCTATGCTCGATAATTGGCCTACCAGCTTTAACTGTCCGACATGCTTGCTCACTGTGCTGGAGGAATAAGTGTTTTGTCACAGGATGTGGAAAGCAGAGCCTGTAAGTAAGACATAACTGCATTTCATTCAACAACTTAAAGGAGCGTAACAAAATAGAAGGGGCTGGAGTTATTGACCAGCAAGCAATGAGGGTGAGTGTGATTATTTCAATCCGTACATGTTTGTGGGGCAAAACGCCTTGGTTATCTTCAGAATCGTAACAAGTCTTTCAGTCTGTTCATATGTTCACTGTCTCTGTGATGCTGCAGTGCCTAGACAGTACTATAGGTTTATGTTATGTCGTTCAATCCGTGATTCTGGTATTGCTGATCACATTTCAGAATAAACACACCAACAGACGTATTAAAAGAGAAACATAGGTCATACTGAAAGCAACCGTATCAATACCCATCAGCATATCTAGATAGACAGACACGAACCAAGCCAAACATATGACTATCGTAGGCCCGACCCGGATGCATACGCCAGCGAAATTGCCCATTGTCGCTAACACTTTAGCATCTGTAAACAACAGTGTGGGCATCGGGAAGGCTAGTCATAAAAATCTAGATCCCAAAAAACTAAAGATGGGGGAGTAATATCAGACAAAACTCCATGATTTTATTTAGTGTTCCAGTCACGAAGAGTAGCTTATTAAAATGTAGGTCAACCTTCGATAAAAGCGCACGATGAAACATCGTGGTGTCATTTGACCCTGATTATCAGCCCATGCTTCAGAACAGATAGATAATAATTCCGACAGTGAGACACGTTGTACAGGCAAAAAAACGACAGCGGACAGTCCTCACTGAACTAGCCAACACACTTTAGGAAGTCACCTGCTGAAAACCCAGAAAACAGTGGCAGCTGTGGAGGATTAACGTAATATGAAACAAACCATCAAGTGCCTCTGTAAAAATGTAAGACAACTGAGGAGTAAACTAAGGAAAATTAGAAACATGTGCTCTCTTTTAAATCTGAAGATCATGGTCCTAACTGAAACATGTCTAACATTAAGCATCATGAATGGAAGGGTGGGTCTGTGAGGTATACCATTTTTTAGATAAAATATAGTACACAGAACAGGGGGTGGGATGACGGTATACATTAACATTCGCATCAAAACCGCATCATCACACAGCATCGACTTAACCAAGAAGACAGAATCGCGCTGGTATTCCTCCGCTATGAACGTCACGAAGCAACTGGGTAGAGGAATATATCGACTTCCTGCAGGTTCAAACAGCCAAAACTATGAAATAGTACAGGCGATACTTAGTCTATCATACCCGGAACTTGACCAGATATTACAAGATGAAGATTTAGACACTCCATCCTTAAATCTCAGCAAGAGCTACATCCCCTACAATGTAGTTCCATAAAGGTCTTGCGAACAGCCATTAGAAGTTCAGGACTAACTGAACATATGGATGATGCCACGAGATCAATCCTGGACAAAATACCTTCAAAGCTACGTTGTTTATCGACAAACAATCAGCTTCTATTTGACGGTTTCCGTGTCCATGCACATAATACAGTAGCGATCATGATACGGTCATGTTTGACGTTGTCACAAACGAGATACTTCGGAGGGACCACAATGTTCTTTACTCTAGCTATATTGAAGCAGACTACACGGCGATGTGTGAGCTTGTTCAATACTGACCCTGACAACGAGTGTGTTGGAGGCTTATATTATGCATCCAGTAGGAGATAGTGAGAAACGTCACTCGGAATCCTATCGAACACAATGAAACTCAAGGTAATGACACAAGCGGAAAGCAAAGAGCCCGTGTTAGCGACGCACGTAACACTTGCTACAGGCCAAACGGAGAACTTGGCACAACTGGAAAGTCTCCTTGAAGGACTCTGAACGTAACTTACATAATATTGAGAAAAAGATGCCATGCCAAAGTTCTAGGCAATCGGAGATGTTTTCATTCCAAACTAGCAGCCGAACCGAAAACCAACCCTAAATGTTTTTACAAATTCATGAATAAGAGTAAACCTACGGACCAGGGATTTGTACTTGTAAACAGACAAATTACCAGTTGAGGGTCTGAGTGATCTCTAACTAACTTCTGGGTTATTAGTCGAAAAACTAGAATTCTTGCTCCCAGGAAAACCGTCAGGTTGTGAGCGTTCGAGATACAACCCTGAAACAGTGCACAAAGGCCACTGGCACACCGCTGTGAGGCCTGTTCAGGCGTCACTAGATTCACACCAACTTTCAAGGAAACGGAAGCAGGCCAATCTATCTCCAATTTTTAAAAATTCGGATAGAAAAGATCCAGCCTGTTACAGACCAGTTGCAGTACTCCCGGTGCCGTCAAAGGTGATGGAAGGATTACTAAATAGAAGATTAGAGAATAAATGGGTAAAAATGACATACTTCGGCAAGTTCAGCAGTGTTTAGTTTTGGAAAACTGTACAACCTACTGGGACCATAGTATACCAGTTGATGTAATATTGCTCGATTTAGTGAAAGCCATTGGCACAGTACTGCATGTACTCCTCACGCCAAAGGGTAGAAAGACGAGCTTCACTGCCCTACTTTTATGTTGTTTGCAAAATTACCTAAAAAATAATATGTTTCGTATCGATGTAAATCGAGTGCCCGTGAGTTGTAAGATCTCAACATCAGGATTTTCGCTAGGAACGATTTAAGTTTCACACATATCGTGATCTTTATTAACGACCTGTGGAGTAAAATTTTCTCGTGAGCACTAATCTTTACAGGCAACGCAAAAATCTAGAAGTCCATAAGAGTGAAAATGGTTCACTTAATCTTCAAAAGGAAACTACATTAGCAGAGACATGAGCAGTATGCAAAAGGTTTAAAAATATTTCGTCGAAATGTCTTGTCATAAATATTCTGTAGATTTAGATACAGATCATTTACACTCTTCGTGAATATTCACTTTTGATCGCCTCCTCGGAGCGTTATCTCAGACTTGTAACCACAGGGAGCACAGACGTCAGCTCGAACTGCACTTTGTGAGAAGATAACTTGGTGTAATCACCAGAAAGTTCTTTCTAACTTTCTTCAAAACGTATGCACGGCATAATCATGACGTCTATAGCAACGTCGCTCTCCCTCACTTCAGAACAGATGAAAACTTGTTAAACTAAGTACAGAGATGGACAACCAGATTGATGATTGGTATGAAAGTTAGGTTTAACGACGAAAAGCCACAACGCCCGGCATTATTTTCATTAATGTATGTCTCATAATGCTATATGGTTCTCAGTATAATATGTAAGTAACTATTTCGTATCACTCTCATTAACATTTGTGTTTGCCCTCTCACTCGTTCAAGACGTGAAGGCAAGGACTGGCAAAACAAGGACAGCATTCCTACAGTTGAAGAACATATGGAACTCAAAACAACTATCAACCAATACCAAAGTCACAATCTTCAATACGAATGTCAAGACAGTCCTACTGTATGGAGTTGAAACTTGGAGAACTACAACAACCATCATCAAAAATGTACAAGTATTTCTAAACAATCGTCTACATAAGATACTGAATGTCCGTTAGCTAGATACCATCAGCAACAACCTACTGTGGGAGAGAACAAACTAACTTACAGCTGAAGAGGAGATTTGGAAAAGACACTGGAAGTGGATGGGGCATATATTGAGGGAATCGGCAAATTGCATCACGAGGCGAGTGCTAACTTGAAATCCTGAAGGGAAACGGTAAAGAGGAAGGCCAAACATCTCATTGTGTCGGCAATTATAAGCAGACAGCAACTGGAAACAAATTGAAAGGATTGACTAGGACAGGGTTGGATAGAGAATGATGGTGGACGACCTATATCCCTCCATGAAGGGTGACAAGCGTAAGTAAGTGGATATGTTACCACACACTGAGCATTACCAGATACCTAGAACCGTTTCAAAACAACAAGAAGGGGTCGAAAAAAATCAGTCGGTTTATACGAGCTCTTGACAACGATGCTTGAACTGTCCTGGTTTTTTTTAATAGTATCGAGAAAGATTTAGATATCAATGAATACTTCAACAGTGTATAACCTAAGACATTACTGTCTACAACCCACAAACTCTACTAAGAACCTCCAGTTCAGAAAAACCATGAATCGCCGCTCAACCGTGAGCCAAATAATCATCGAATTTCTTTTCTTATCTCCAAGTTTGTCGTTGAATAGATTGGACATTGGAACGTAGAGGATATTAACAAAGAATTTGTTTTTAGCTCAAGCGCTTAGACTGAATTTTCGAGCACGATGCACAGAGAAGGCGGTAGATCATACAAAGCTATCCAACCTCCTATTGTAAGTTCCTTTGTTGTATGTTAATTGGTAACTGCAGGGTGTTGTTTATAATTTCTTGCAGAAGGTATTTTGTTGAAACGACTGTCTATGTAATACTTCTTCCTAGAAAGCACGTGTGAGGGTATGGCTGTATGAACAGTGTAACTTACGAATTGAAGGAGTGATAATTGTACGTCAGTGATTTGTTGCTCACCACTGTACACAGGGTTTCGACGAGTACATGAACCTGGTGCTGGCTGACGCTTGTGAAAGGCACATGAAGTCAGGAGCTAAAAAACCTTTGGGTTAGTATTGTAATTTCATTTCGAGTTGTTTCCTTGCAGGAAGGATCCTCTTAAAAGGAGAGACAATAACGCTCGTCCAGGTTGCGAATTAACGGAGTTATTTCAGATTCTGATAAATCACTGTTAATATGTCCCACGTTGTACGTTGAAGTACATATAAAACCATTTGATGTAATTCTTTGTAGTGTTAGACTTGTTTCTTTAATGTGTTATTCGTAATAATTCAACTCTCCAGTGATGTCATATATAAGAGGATATGGCGAAGGTTATCGTTGCATTCATATTCGACCTATTAAGATGTGTAAAACTGTATCATTTCCTGTTCACTTTGTTAGTAATAACTTATCATATTAATGACTTCCAAATCATTCACAGATCACATTTAAGGAAAATTGTTTTGCTTTATCAAACGAAAAGGTATTGCTTTAAAAATAGCCGAAAGTAGTTGCAGTGATTCTGACTTATAGGGTGATAAATAATCTTCATAAGCTAATTCAGCGAAATTGTTGGCTCGATGGTTCATTTTATTTATTTACATCGTAAGTTTTGCATGACTGACATGATGATGGCGGAAAAACTATTTAGTAAAGAAGCTGTGGCTGAATGCTTTTCACAGGAATATGTTACTCGGCATTTCAAAGTGCTGTCATTAGAGCTCCAAATTAAAACTACATTGATTTTAACTCAGCCTTTATGTTTTCTTAAAAAGTCGTCCAAATCGAATACTTAGGCGTGTTAAAGCCCTAGTCGTACGAAAGTTCAAACCACCATGGTGTTAAAAAAGATTGATACATACCTTGATTTTATTGATTTACTATTCAGTTGTATGGCTCGCTAAGTTTTTCACACCGATCAATTTGCGCAGTTGACCTCTTTTTTATGCATAAATGCTTCAACAGGTAAATATGATCAGATATTTCGAAATTCATTGGGCTTATATATCATAGTTCTGATAGTCTTGGTATTTTATTACATTAAATAAATTTATCAAAGGGACTAGTTGGACTTTTGATTACCTGGTTTTATTTTTGTTAGGGAGGTAATGGTATTGTAGGGGAAATTACGTGTACTCCTGACAACTAGTATTCAGAATGTTTAGTAAACCTGATCTTATTTTCCAGGTTTTTCTCGTTACTTAGCTATAATTGGGTGTAATAATCTATTTGGTGTTTTATGGTATTGGTTACAGTTAGGTCCTCGTACTTATTAATACATATAGGTTTTTCTGAGGCTATAATGTGATGACGAATAATTCTAAATAAACGAAAACGGGCCATCATATAAATTTATTTACGACTAGTCAAACGTATAGAAATATATATAGTGCATAAATAACACCAGTCAGCTACAACTAAGGGCCGGGCACATATATGCCACACCTCATTAGCAAAATAAGTTGAACACCAAACTCATCGAAGTAGTTACTTCAATGATAGAAATGTATAAAAGAGAGATTGCGCAATAGGATATAATACAAGGAGAAAGAATTGGTTCATGGGAAGAAAGGTATAAAAATTTTAATCTCGCGCTTTAAGGGAAGACAAAGGATGTATACGCCTACGTTGTTGTGATCGATCAAACTAATCCCTCTATAGTTATCGCAGGATGAATTTGACCTTTTATATATTGCGAAAATCAGTGATTGTGACCAGTTAGGTGGGATTACGTCCAACTCCCAGATTTTAGCTAAAATATTAGTCAACCTAATCTCTAGAATTAGACCACCATACTTAAATACCTCTGAAGCCAATGCATCTGGACCAGCTGCTCTTCCTCTTTTCAAATTAGCTATAGCCTTTTGAACTTCAGCTTGAGTCGGGGGACCTACTTCAGTAGTCTATTCACGCTGTCTGGAAATGGTGGGTAGTTGTAGAGTTGCTGAAGGCCGACTGAACTACTCCTTAAAGTGTTCCGCCCATTATTTTAAACGTCTGGGCTGGAAGCAGATAAAAGTGTTGTCTTGTTCTGATATAGTCTCACTCATACTTGATTTTTTAGTTCTAATTTCCTTTATGAGTCTGAAGGGTTGTCCTGTGTTACCTACAGCAGCCCCCTTTTCTATCTCTTTTGCTTTCGTTGCCCGCCACTGCCCACAGTCGTTCCATAGACTTTTGCTTAACCTAGATCTGATTTACTTTCGCTCATCATCGTGTTGACAGCCTGATGATATGACTTTACGAGAATCCATCAGTGCAATAGTCCTAGAAAAAATCCATTGGTTTTTTTGTAACTGGTTCAAATCACTAACAGATGTCACTGCTATTTGTATATTTTTTCAAGCAACATCTGGATCGGCCTCGTTTTCAGAACTACGTAGGTGTGGCCTCAGTCGTTCCTGGAACCTACTTTTGATTTTATCATTACTCAATTCAATTACGATGGGTCTTAATGTGGTTTTCCTGCGTCCAGAGAGGCGCAGGTATATGCATGATCGGAGTCTAAGCAAGTATTCCAGAACGAGCAATAATCTATCGACTCTCTCCAAATATGATTGATGGCAATACGGTCTATTTGAGTCCATCGTTGGTTTGGTGCAGGGGGTCGCCGTATAAGATGATGTCTCCTTATGTTTAAAATTGGTGTTTGCAAGAAATAAACGATTGTCTGAGCACAGTTGCAGCAAACGATCACCATTATCTGTTCGCTGAGCCGGAATGCTAAGACCACCCTTAAACTAATTTCATTTTCAGGTACCTCTAGAAGAACGCTTTCACGTTGTGGCCTAGCACCCAAGATCACTGTATTCATAATCAATATCTCTCTTCAATTCCTATCATTCCTCCTATATCAACTCTAAACTTGCTCATTTAGTTGGTGTCTGGTAAAATCTCAGCACGGATTCAGGAAGCTCGTTTGGCTTTTGCCAACTTACGTCGCCTATGGTGAAGGTGAGATATCCGTATATCAATTAAGGGACGAATATACTGCCCAACAGTTCGTTATGTTCTACTTTACGACTGCGCAACGTTGCCATTCAGAGTATAAGTTATTCGTAAGCTACTAGTATTTAACCACAGATGCCTTAGAAATATTGCTCGCATCTGCTGGGATCACCGGCTAAATAATAGTGAGGTTGGACATAGGGTATTAGGGAATGATGGTAAATCAGTTGATGAGGTTGTAAATCTTCACCGACTGAGATGGTTGGGCCACGTGTTACGTATGCCTGAATACTGATTACCACAACGCGCAATGCTGCTGACTAGTGTTGGTGATGGTTGGAAGAAAGTTAGAGGCGGCCAAACTAAGACGTGGCATCAGTTTTTGAAGTCACTAACTTCTAGTCCTAGCAATGTTGATAGATGCAGACTACTTGGTTGGGGTCCGCGTGACTATCGTAACCAATGGTTGTAGACTGTGAGTGACATGGCTCAGAATCGATCACAGTGGAGTAGGCGTATACACTCTCTATCTTCCCTTAAACCGTGAGATAAAAATTGCTTTATATTTTTCTTTCTACGAACTAATTCTTTCTTCCTGTACTATATCCTCATATGCAATCTTTCTTTTATGTATTATTACCATTGAAGTAACTACTTCGATGAATTTGATGTTCATCTTGTTGTGTTAATGAGTTGTGGCAACTTGAACCGATGCATAGATGTACCTGGTCCTACATTGTAACTGACTGGCTAAATTGAATTATCGTAGATGTGCCCCAACATACGATGCTGAACCACTGCGTTGTGTTACCACTGAGTGTCAGCAGTCCTTGCAGTAATTACTTTTAGGACTACATGACGTAATCGTCAGGAGGCTAGTGACTTTTTACCGTAGGGTGCATCAGTAATTCAATAAGAGTTCCCAAAGTATTAATCCAATTGTTTAGACATCTAAGACGTTTGTGTTTTATATAAGACGACTCGATTATTCACTGAAAATCCTGTGTTTGGATTTTATTTGTTTAAATATATTTTCTAAGGTGCCTTTCTGACTTAAGGCTGATATTCCATATCGGTAATTGTGAGGCATAGTAATCAAATAAAATTTCAAGTGATAAAATAACATTTGCTGAATATATGTTGTTCATTTATTAAGCATGTTTTCAGTTATTTAGTTTGAATTGCTTATCAAAAATATAGTAATTATTCTTCAGCGAAAGTGTCGCCTAGACTTTTTCTACTGTTTAAAAATATTGGTTTAATTCTAAATTAACTGCTTTCATTTCATAATCTTGTCTTATTGTCTGTGTGAGATCCGGGATTCAAATGTCGTACTATTTGGGGCTTTGTTTAATAGATGTAATTGTATCCATCAAAATTGTTTTGTTTCTGTCTGAAGTCACATCCAGTAGTAACCGGTTCGTATATCACCTGTTGTATATGTGCATACATGACATGTATTAATAAGTGATGGAGGGATTCGATCGTCAGCAAGATACTCCCGGATGTTGTTAGAGGTGTGACGGCGGTTGTCCGTTAGGTGCGGCTAAGCCAAAACATGGCAAAGCTCATGACATCACACAATTAAAATGAGCCATATGTCGACTAGCTGGTTGGGTTCCGCTTAATTATAGTAATTAATCGTTGGAGACTTTAAGTAACGTACCTCGAAATCGTTCGCAATGGCGTAGGTGCATCCGTTCTTTGTCATCCCACGAAATTCTTAGATTCCTCATGACATTTTTTGCTTTTATTTTACTGATTTGTATTGTCTGCTCGAATCGTGTCTTCGATACCTAATGTTTCATATTACCGCTGATAGCGTTGCTACCTCTACTATTTTTGATTTGATCTGACAACTTCATCTCTGTGCTTATGGGGTTCGACAACTTGAAACGATATACATACGTTACAGCGTCAAATTTTCGATCCATTATCTTACACGGCATCTATTGGTTCATTTTCATGTAATCTAATCCTGTTTTATGGATCTGGTTGATCGATTACTATTGACATACGAGCTCTTCAAAATGATATTGAATCAAATCTCATGACTTGTTCACATCAGAAGTAAAATATCTAATTATGGAGCTGCTGTACTGAAATGCCATATTCTTACGAAAATCTGTCAATTCCGTTCGGTGAATGAATAACGCTAGATAATAAAATCCAGTAACTGACTTCATTTTAAAGTATTGATCGACGTAAAT